CAAAAATGATGATGGATGCCGTATGCGATACTAGTTTGTAGATAACTCTCACGATAAGCAAATTTATAGATCAGTCATTCGTTTAATTGCAATTATTTAAAGTCGACGTATGTGAAAAAAAGTTGAGAACATATGGATAGTGGAAGGATTTCCAGGTCTAGATGGACATTCGCATTCAGGTAAAAGGCTCGGAACATTGGCATTATGCGAATTATTGGTCAGAAATATGTCAACAAAGAAGCATTAGATACTTTTTCCACATCCGCACTCATTTTCAAAAAAACGTATTTTTAGCTTTTTCTAGACATTTCAGTAGTCACTCGAAATGAATTTTTGAATTAATAATACCTCAAAATTGGAGCGGGCATTTGATTTATTGATTGGCCTTTACATTGCGCTAGGGATTATTGAAATTAAGATTGAATTTCACATGCGGAGTGCATACCTTGCACCAGTGTGTAGATGGATTTTGCAACTTTGCCAGGCGATAGCTTAATTCTTGAGAATTTTGTTGTGCGTCTGTTTTTCGAGATAAGTCGCTTGTTTAGCAGTAAGAATTAAATTGTGCTGCGTTTATTTAGGTACGTTTTATCAAACACACTTTTACTTCAGATGGTTAGTTCGATAGCACAAATCTCGGCGATTTCAAGGATGTGCTCGTTTTTTGAGAAAAGACTTCTCAGTGCGCTACTTTTGCTGAGATAATATTGGATTTCGCACTCGACGGGCATCACACGTCACATGTAAATTGCGATGCGCAATCTTCAGCGCGCCGAGTGCGGAACTCAAGATTTTCTTAGCTGTAGCAACGCACTACGAATTTCTCTCAAAAAGCGAATATGTCGTTGAAATTGTTGAGATTTGTGCTATCGAACGTTTGATGAAAGTCTGAGTGAAAAGCTATGTCCACCGGAAGATTTTTGAGTGTGAAGTAAAAAAAATATCGAATTCTCAAGACTCTAGCTATTGAGTGATCACAAAAATTTCGAGAGAGATTGAAAATACGTTTTTTTTTTGGATCTGAGTACGGGTAGAAAATAATTGTCAAGTGTTCTTTGCAATGATGGATGCGCGCTCTTCCTACACTTCTTGCAGCTACATGGTGCGATTTCCTTCATACAGACCTCTATTAAAGGTGTTTAGATGCAAAGGATGTGCTTTCAATCTAAGTTCTCGGAAGACAGGCGACACAAATGCGCAGAAGGAGTTGAAAGTTTGTCCTTTTACAAGGATGTGTTATTACCGCTGAAAAATGAAAGCTTGAAAAAAGAATAGTTGCTCTGTATAACAAAAATAACTTTCATGAAAGGTTCACTCGTGATGTTCCATCTTCAATGTAACGATAAAATAGCTTTGACTCATAAACTTCACCTAAAATTGCCAATGCGCCACCACTGATATGAAAACGGCGGGGTAACATGTTAGGCGTCAGATTCACTCTTCTTTTCGCTCTTAAAGCGTATTATGATAAATATTTCAAATAAAACTTGCTGCATTCTTAAAATTCTTGATATTGAGCTATCGAATGATTAGTAAAACCTTGGTGAAGAGCCATATCAAAACCTCAGCCGACAAATGAAGCAAATTGTGTTTGAAACATAATTTTATTTTCCCTTTTACAGCGGAGCAAATAGTCTTTTCCGAAAACCAAACATATCGTTGAAATCTTAGATATTTGAGCTTTCGAAGAGTTACCATATTTCTGGGAGAAAATTTTCATGCAGCGAGAGAGGCCTTCAAACATTCGTGCATTATAACTGATGCACGTCGTCCCATAGGGGTTAAGCTAGACTCGACGTCGCGTGGCGTAGAGTATAATGCTACATATCGTCCCCAAACGATTAATATTTATATATCCTGGTGATAGAGACGGGCATGCATTAAGAATCATGCACACCCCCCCTCCCCCCCCCCCCCCCCACCCCCAAATGATCAAACAGCACTTGTTCATATCGATTTTTCACCTCTTGGCGCCTATAAAACAAACATTATTAGGTCTTGCGTGGTGAACCGAAATAGTCTGTACTGATAAGTGCATATCAGTGACCAACTCGCGATGAATAAAAGGAACATTTGAGTTTTGGATATAATGAGTTTACACAAAAACATTCTGTTACAAGCGTGAAAAAATATTATTTTCAAGATCGACTATCGGTAAACTCCAGCTCTGAGCAAACAGTTATGAGATTTCAGAGTAGAGAAATAGAATGAATATAACGGAGGAACGAGCAGTTACAAACTCCAGAAGTAGCTGTTGTAAATCATAAACTATATCAGGCTGACTGAAAATGAATGCAAACCTCTGCGACGATTAACTTTGTGCGGCAAATACTGTCTGATGGAGCCAAGTCGTCCCGTTTGAGTTGTACCGATTCGAATGCGACTCAAATCGCTGAACCCAAATCCCATTGAGTTGATTCCTGCGAAGTGGAACGCAGCTCGAATGAGGAATCCCTGGGTAGAGCGGCTGCTGATAACTGTTCACTGTTAATCGATGAGATAGGCACATTACGCGAGCGTTCGCTCGTTGCGTGAGAAGATTTTCTAATTGGAGCGCATTTTTGTTTTGCCTCAAAAGATCACAAGCTGCCAGGCTTAGTTTAGAAGAGTTACGGATGTTTTCGATGTTCTGTGGTCTGCGCAAATGGGAAGGTATGAAAATAGCGGGATCACATTTTGGTGCCTCTAGATAACTCTGTGATGGAGTGATTCCGAAGTTAGCAAAGGTAGTAAAGTTACAAGAACTAAGTTTTCTAGAAAATACTGAAGAATCGGCTCTGATGAATTTGAACACTTATACCGCCGACTAGCAGCGTTAATCTTGCATTGTGTACTCATAAAAGAATTCAAATAAAACTTATTTTCAAATCAGTGCCAAAATTTCTCAATATGGCATCAATTGGAGCTCGAATTGCTATCTAAAGAATGGAGTTGAATGTATAAGATGCAAGACTTCGAATTCCATGATCACAAAAATCATTAACAGGGATACTCTTGGTATTACACAGAAGTAGAAGTACATTTCTTATAGTCCTGCATAAGAGTCTCTCAGAGTGGATAAGTAACCGAAATCAATCATGCCATAGTAACACCGGAGCTTTTGCCTCCATGCAAAACTCATTTAGTTGCACTGATTTTCGAGCCAATGATCTGATGGAACAAAAGTATACAGTTTAAGCAGAAAAATAAGTCTGTAACCAAATTCACAAATTGCAGTGCTCCTCTCAAGATGAATAACGGTAGTACCTGTGGATTTAAAAGCTCAAATTTCAGCGGCAACAGCACGGCTGAGAACAGTCGCTAAAATAATATGACCACTACCAAAGTTTATCTCCTACCATTTTTTTCATACCTCTAGACTTGATAATTGTTTGAAAACTACCCAACACGATGCAGTCTTTGATGAGACGTCCTGAGGAACACTCCACCCTACCAACAATATGTTAATCATTCGTGAAATGTTGCAGTATCTGAGAGTGTTACTTTAGTGTAAGAAGTACATTGGCAGTCCATATGAGCAATTCCTGATTAATCTCCATTTGAAACACATCAGTGAAAAACTTACAAAAGCGGTGAGTTTGTTGAGGGTTGTTTTGTGCTTGATGCGATGAATTTCTAGGTTTGATGATGTGTTCCTAATAAGATAATGGAGGTGTTTAGGTGATAGGAATGTGGGCAGCCTAATCTTTTCAGGTTTCGAAAAAGGCGAAACTGTCCAAAAGTCAGTTATGAATAAATTATACGATATCTATCTCGAGTTGTTGGCTCACAAAGAATTTCGAATATCAGTCTAAATTCTTTCTATTTTGACTGCCACTTGCAGTGGAGTGCAGTGGTATGATGTTATAGTATACCCAATATGCACAGCACGTTTTTGCACAGCACTCTACATATTGGGAAGTCCGAATGACTGAGAAATGCCCGGTTAATAACTAGTTTCGTTTGGTGTTACAAATGTGTTCCTAGAAAGTAATCCGTTCAATCTCGTGAAAGTCAATAACTGATATTAAGGTCCTGAGTGCTTTTAGTGACTTTATGCCAACTACTAGTCGTCAAGAGTACAGGTGATGAAAGTGAGGGAACATTTTTTCACCACACTTCCCCATGATAATGAATTGCTACAGAAAAGTTTGTACTTCTAACACTTAGTTTTCATGCGTTTCAGTTGACTGCTTCAAATTCTGTAGAAGCTGTAACCCCTAAAGAGTCAGTTGTTGGAACTGGGAAATGGTGCTCTAACATAAGCGTCATTGCTTTTTGTTGGAGCATTAGAATAATTAATTATTGACCGATTTCAAAAGAAAGCCGGGTTTGGAACAATACTGAGTTTTTGTTGAATCACTTTTCGGCTATTTCAGGTAAACGGGAAATTTTCTTTTCGCAGCGATCAAATAAATTCACGTGAAGCAAATGACCTGGAGAGTCTACAAAAGGCGATCTTTTCTCGGACTTTCAGATGACTCTGTACTGTGTCAGATGTCTGGTTGAAGAGGCAGTAGACGCGGAATCATATGACTGTCTAGAGAGTCGGCAATAAGGGAATTATTTTTCGACTTCATTTGAGTGAATGGGTACTATGGTGAGTAGCGTCAGAAGAATCAGAAGGCAAATCTCTGCCAGCTGTATACTTTTTTGATGAATGCATTGCCTGGATGCATACGATGCCCAATTATCGCTAAATAGTCAACAGATGGTGCATTTTCGGGATGCGCTCTTTTTCTCCTGTGCATTAAAGAAACAGACGTCATTTGGCTGCGCGAAGGCAGAAGACGGGACTCTTTTTTTGAATACATTAGAATGAATGCATATACCAATTAATAGAGATTACTTATAGAGCGCGTAAACGTCTCACTTTTTAACATTCGCCTCCTGGTTGCTGTGTTGCACTCGCCCTCGTTGTAATACTGCAAAACTTATCGGTATGGAGGATTTGATGAGACACCTTACTTTTTGACATTTTATTGATATGCCCAATAATGTGGAGCGCTGTGCAAAACCTTTGCGTCAGCGCGGATTCGAACCCAGACCACACTCTTTCCGGGAGCGTATGCTAACCATTGCACCACAGGCGCTCGTTTTACAGAGCACTCTTTTTACGCTACAAGGCGTTACCTTTCAACAGCCAACCGTCGACGGTCTGGAGGGCAGCCGCTATCGGCATTGAATCCACTTGTGCTGACACGTATTGGGTATCGATAATCAATCAGAATTCTTTTTACCTGACAGCCACTTGCGGTGGTATGATTTTCTAATATACCCAATAATGTGGAGTGCTATGCAAAACGAGCGTGGGTGGTGCAACGATTACATACGCTCCCGGAAAAAGTGAGATCTGGGCTTTTATCCCGGCTGGCGCAAATTGCTTTGTACGGCCTTATTGAGTCACGTTATAACAAATGTTCCCATCGCTCTGGATTGGAATCGACTGGACAGCAAAAACCTGAAATCTCACAAAAGCCGTTGTTTTATTATCCATGTGTCATGAACATAGTCCTTGAAGGCGCTGCACATAATTATGCTGATAAACAATTTTTTGCCTTCTAACCTTCGATCATCATCTTTTACTATCACTTACGAGAAGAGTGCAAAGTGACCTTCTAATTATGCCATATATTGCACTTATACATATATACATATATATATATATATATATATATAATATAAATATATAACGTAAATATATAATATATAGTATATAATATATATAATATATATAATATATATAATATATATAATATATATAATATGATATATATATTGCTTCAATACAATTCCTGATTTTTTTTTTGGCATAAATGAAAATCAGGCATTATCAAGGATTTATAAGGCTTATCAAGGAATTATCTACAAAGCAAACCTAGCCTAACAAAAATATGAATCTAATATTCATCTAACCTCCATTATCTCTACAACAGCTAGAACAAATTTTGTCGTTTAACAACGTATCATTGAACTATGCCCTAAGTTACTGACTGTGTTTGATTGATAAGCGCCCTAAGTAAAGATAATAAGGATGAAGATAAAGCTCTTAGCATTGATCTGAAGAATGCATCATGCATTTGTCACCGCGTAGCACCATTTACGGTGATTGAATGCATGTCTGGCTCTTACTGACTCACGATGGTCAATAGTTGTATCAGGCGAGTGCTGCTATCCTTCCAGACAAGTCTGACGCCAATTTGCCGATTCTGGAGAGATGGTAGACTTAGTGAGTTTTGAGTGCACGATCGCATCATCAACCATCGGTTGATCGCCACATGTATGTCGCAGAGCACCTTTGATTAACTACAGCGCCACACACGTTATTTGAAGTGCATATTATAGACTAAACATTAGTTTTATAGAAATTCCATTCAGCTTCATGTGCTTCCTTTGAAATGAGTATGAAATATGAGCCAAGTACAAGAGAATGTGCAGGTTGCTGCGCATAGTTATGAAGGATCATCAGAAGAGGTTAACATTATGGCTTTCCTTTGATGCAGAGATGAGACCTCTTGCAAGTCGGCTGATTTCATTCACACCATCCGAACATCGGCGTCGGCTAACTGGTAGCATCTCTGAACATGAAGATACAATTACTGATCAATGAATAAATGCATACTGTTAACCATCCACTCTTACATCTGAACGCTGTAAACACTGTGGTGAGGCCGTGTTCAGACTGTTGTTTCAGTGAACCTTCCAGAAATTAGGAACAATCATTGCGTGAAAAAAGGTACATATTTCCTGTAAAGTCATCACTATACAGATTTGTGCTCAATTATTACATTTGCAAATAAATATAAGGTCATATGGCAGGATCATCAAGTAAAGATGAAGTTTTCAGCTAGAGAAAACAAGGACTGAACCAGGCACGATAGTCATTATTATCACTTCTATTGTGTGACTAAGATGACTGACTCAGTCGGTGTCACCCAAAATCAGATTATGCTTTTTTTAAAAACGTATTTCCTTGTATTCCAAGTAAAAAGCGCCTACGGAAAGATAAGGGTAACTCAATACATCAGAAGATTCTTGAATTCTTTCAGTAAATCAGACTCTAAGGAAGTACAAGTTAAACTCTGCCCTACAATCTTCACACTGGCGTATAAATACACGAATAATAAAATCTGGAATTCGTACTGAAAGCGTTGCAGTAAAAGTTGTTACGGTAAAATTATTTACTGAGCAGACAGTTTCTGTAAATGTACGAAATATAGTCAATATAATTCAGGCTACAGCACTCCTGAGTCTTGACTATTTTTGGCAAAACACTTGTCGTTAACTTTCTATGCAGTTAACTGCATAGGATTCAGGTCGACTATAAGGGAATAGTATTCTATTAAACACAATTTTCAGCCAACATTCGGCGGCAAAGTTTCCACAGGCATCCAACGATATATAGTCAGATTTGCTGTAACGAAGTTGCGTGCAATCAGACGTCTTTATTTCGCATGTATGCCCTGCCCAAAACGGCGTAGTTAGAGTCTCTTCAACACTCTTGCCAAGCTGAGCAACATAACTCATATCTTCTCACCTCTTTGTCCTTAAACTTTTCAAAATTAACCTACCTACATCGGCTGTGTTCTACTGCAAGACACAAGCAATCTGAGCAAACAGCTAACGACCACGGCAGACATCAAACCTGCAATCTTCTGCTAATTCTTCCTTAGACATTTTACGCTTGGTTCAACTTTGAATCGAGAGCTGCTCCAGATCGACTGATTAATGCGATAGTCTAAATGCCATTCTGGGTAGTCCATCAAGTGTGTCTGCTCAAATTACAAGTTATCAAAGAAATGTGTTCGAATAGGTCAGCAGCACAGGTTTCGACGAATCTCGGATCCCAAGAATCCTTTTCAGGGCTATACATTCTGCAGAGATAGGCGGAGGGAGGCCCTTTATCCAGTAATTTGAATTTGAACTCGTGCGAGGCATTTACCCGTGTGAGTGTTGTGGTAAGGCGGAATCTTGTTAGTGTTTGAAGTAATAGCTGATCGTCTATGGGGAATGCTTTCATGTGTCTTTGCATATTGTATTCTTTTATTTCAAAGTGACTTAGCACTTCGTATTTTAAAAGAGACTTTCCAATCAACCTAACATCTGTTTTTATCACTGCATTTTTAGTGCATATACATGGAGGACTCTCAGTAATACACTGAACCATCCACGGAATGCAGTCCTCCTTAGTTTTTTAGATACTTAAATCCTAGGCTAGTTAGTGTTATCTAGTGTTCCTGTCTTAGATCGTTGTTTATCTTTTTTTATAAAGATGCACTGTTGTTGTTGACAGTTGTTTTCATCTATTTAGATCCTATAGGCTTGTAATTTCAACTGTCTTTCATCAATAGATGTGATAAGTTAACGCTCATCCATAGGCGTAATGAAATTTCACTACCTCGTTTGTACCTCCGCATATAATTTGGACAGTTTTCGCTTAGAATGTTCATGGAGAGTTCATGAAATTTTAATTTTTTGCATTACAGTATGATGTCATGCGCAAATTTACTTCTGTCATTTGCTCCTTTGCTGTGTGTGTAATCAAGGTTCTCGAAAAAGTGCCTCTATTAAACATTGTTGTGTCATGAGATAGTTGAGTTGCGATCTGTATAAAAAATTTTCACAGATTTCAGTTTTGGATTCTTTTATTTTTTATTCATCTCCTCCCTCCTTGCTTTTGTTTGATGATCAAAAAAGCTGCAAAACTGCTAAGAGTTCTTAAGCCTTGAGGGCCGGTATGTACCAGCCAAAGTACACAATTGTATGAAGGCCTTTTTCGCTGGACAATTTTCTCTTTGAAAATTTGGTAGTTATTCAAAAGCTCAAATCTGCGATTTCGGGAGTATGTTTGGTTTTTCATGAAGGCCTTTTTACTATGCAGTGATGTAGAGTGAAGTGCGAAACTTTCGCTATATGTGGTACTTAAACTCACATCTCACTCTATCAGAGAGCACGCGCTCTAACGCATTGCACCACCAACACCCATTTTACACACCACTCTTATACGACAGAATACATTTATCTGTCAGCCGCCAACCGTCAGCGGGCTGCCTCGGGTAGTCGTTATCGACATTGAACTCAGTTACGTCGACAGATATTGTGTATCAGAGATCAAATGGTTCTTGAGCCGCCTTAGTGGTGGTGAGATTTTATAATGCTTGAATATGGCCCTGAGATTTTAGCGAATCCCTAGAGCTAGGAGGACCCACTGGACTACTCTTGCACGAGATAGGGAAAAGTGGAAGCGTTGCTGGTTCCCGCTCGGATCACTCAATGATCAGCGGGACGACAGGTGATACAGGTGAAATGTATGAACCCATTTTATCTTCAATACCCAATATCTGTTAGTGTGACTGGGCTCAGTGTTGATACTGACTGGCTGGGCCTGCCCGATGACGGGTGGCGGCCGAAAGATAGAATCGCTGGTGTGTAAAATAGGCGTCAGTATTGCATCGGGTTAGAGCATGCTCTCCCGGATGGAGTGAGTAGTGGGTTTGAGTCCCGCCTAACGCGAAAGTTTTACACATTACTCTACATCACTGGGTATATTTATAAAATCTTGACACCGCCAAAGCAGTTAAGCAGAAAGAATTATTAGACCTTTTTTTACGCTTTGCTGCGACAGGAAACCATGTTTCACACTCCGTTTGATTTATTTGTTCGGCTAAGGGTTATATATGGCTCTTCACCAAATTCTTACTGATCATTGGATAGCGAAAATCTTGAGAATTTCGATGCTGTTATTGGTCTTTTGTGATGTTATTATAGAGCGCTGTAAGAACAAAAGAGGATCATATTTCGCATTAAAAGTTTTTATTGTACACAAACCATACAGGGAACAAACCATAACCATTCAATCCGTTCTTCGAATATAAATGGAAGTTTCACGTTGCACAAGTGTTTTGGTATTTTCTATGCTATATTTTTTTTTTATCAAATTTGTTGAGTCATGTAACTCAACAATTGTCCGGTTGTCAGTGCATATGATTAACTTACTACTGCCAAGCTTATGGTCAAATCTCGTCACTTTGCTCTCCTATCAAAGCGACTGCTAATGTTGAACAGACCACTAATTCTGGGATATGGTGAACTT